AGCTTTTTTTTTTTCCAGACAATTCCATAACTTTGATCTTTTATTCAGACACTAAAAACGCAGCGGATCACGATGAGTCCCCGCCTCGCACCCCCACGGGCAACGCCCCTTCCTCAGAGTCTGACATTGATATCTCCAGCCCCAACGTGTCCCACGACGAGAGCATTGCCAAGGACATGTCCATGAAGGATTCTGGGAGTGACCTGTCTCACCGCCCGAAGCGCCGCCGCTTCCACGAGAGCTACAATTTCAACATGAAATGTCCCACTCCTGGTTGTAACTCTTTAGGTAATTGCAGCTCCAGGATTAAGCTCTTGGGTTTTGCCTTCCTGCTGTGATAGTCCAGGTCCCACTCAGTGAGTTATACGTCCTGACAACAGGCACTTAAGCAGGATCAGAAGCGTTGCTGAGAAGTGGGTCTAGAGAAGGGATATGAATCGTAGCTCAGGTGTATTCCTCCTGTAGATATTCTCTGACTAGGGGTTTTTGGGGGGTTGATAGGGTGAAGAACAAGTGAGGAGCGTGAGCAGAGGTGTGGAAGGAAAGCACAGAGTCTTGCAGGTAGGACACTGGTCTCTTCCAGAAGCAGGTTTACAGAAAGAAAAATTATTGCAGACTTCTGCTAGACCTGGCTGCTTGTGTGGAGCACAGCTCTTGAGTGAGCAGGAAAAAGGTTTTCCTTCTTTATTCTTAAAGCTTGTGCTGTGGAGTGTGCTCCCTCTGTCTCACTGGTGACAGACTGAGGCTCAGGAGGGATCTGCCCAGCTGGGATACTTTTTGAACCTCTTTGTATTCATACATTAAAAGTTTGGGGTTTTTTTTCTGATCCTTTGCAGGACACCTGACTGGAAAACATGAGAGACACTTCTCCATATCAGGATGCCCACTGTATCATAACCTCTCAGCAGATGAGTGCAAGGTAAATGGGTCTTCTGGTTCATCTTTCCTATGATTTGGGGGTTTTTTTTTGAACAAAATGCCAGGACCTGTCCTTTGTGAACAGAAAACACAGCTAAGGTGTCAGCTGATGGCTTCAGCTGTGAGACAGCAGCGTTTTGTGTGTCGAATCATCTGAACTGCAGTTCAGAAAGTTCCCCTAAAGGAGGAAGCAGGAGGTGGAGGCTTTGCTGGAGGTTTGCTGCAGCACTGACGGGTGGTTTTGGCCTCCAGGTGCGAGCCCAGAGCCGGGATAAGCAGATCGAGGAGCGGATGCTGGCCCACCGGCAGGACGACAACAACAGGCATGCCACCAGGCACCAGGTGGGCAACCTGCTGCTCCTTCTGCCCCGGGCTCTAGCTGAGGCTCAGCTCAAAGTGGAGAAACCTCAGCTTGTGCTTTCCAGCAGCTATGGCTTTAACTTAGCTCCGTTCTGCTCAGCTGAGCTCTTGTGCTGAGTCCTGACGCTTCCCCGCATCATCGCCAAGTAGTTTCAGCAGGGATGGTTCATTGTGTCCCTTAAGGGAGAGAGTTGTGAGAGAAGGGAGCTGGCATTAGCCAGGAACATCACAAAGGAGGCTGGAGCTGTTCTGAGGATAACCTTTTCTGTGTGCTTTGTGTAGGACAAGAGGATCTCCCCACAACTGTAAACTACAATTTTACTCTGACTAAATAGAAAAGAATAAAACCAGGGGAATTAACATTTTTCAGTTCGTGAGTCTTCGACTTGAGTCAGGATGACTTAATGAGTCAGCTCTGGGCTTTTCCCCATGACTGAGCAGCACAGGAGGAGTGTCTCTGTCTTGTGGGACTGAGGAACATTGGCAAAGGCAGGCTGTGGTCGGCAGAAAAAATTCCTGTTTTCCATACCCGTGTTGTACTTGCAGTGCCCTCTTATTAGCACAGGATTTGGTTCAGAGGCAGCAAACCTCAGGAAATGAAAGCCAGGAGAGAGGCCCTTTAGGGTGGGAAGGTGAAGAGAGCAGCATTTGAGGCTGATGGAGCCTAGTGAAGGTTTCCACCTCTTTTTTTTTTTTTCAGGCCCCAACAGAGAGGCAGCTGCGGTACAAAGAGAAGGTAGCTGAGCTCAGGAAGAAGAGGAACTCAGGACTAAGCAAGGAGCAAAAAGAAAAATACATGGTAAAAGCAATAACTTTATTCTCTCATTCCCCCCTGCCTGGAACGAGACCAGGAAGCGGGCGTTTGGCTTTCCCAGTCACCCTGCAGCTAGAAAAGCTGCAAGACCCAGCACTTAGGAGCAGTGTGGCACAAAACCCTTCTGATATGTTGTTCCAGGAGCACAGACAAACCTATGGCAACACACGGGAGCCTCTGCTTGAAAACCTGACAAGTGAATATGACCTCGAGCTCTTCCGCAGGGCGCAAGCGCGGGCGTCTGAGGACCTGGTGAGATCTGACTCCTGAGATATCTCATAGCCAGTCTCTGTGTCAGAAATGTGTTTTCTGGGGTTTGCTGGATGGAATCAGAGCAGCTCCAGCCAAGCCAGCAGCATTATTACACTAGAGGTAGCATTTCAGTGTCAGATGTTCAGGGGGTTTGCTGGGAGTCCAGCTGGAGCTAAGCCCTTGCAGTCGTGAATGCTGCAGTGCCTGAGAGAGGAGTGATTAGTAACAGTCCCAGCTAATAGGTGTGTGTTTCCAGTGACAGATTGTCCTGCTTCACCTCCTGAAAGGATGGCTGAGGCCAAAAGCCATCCTGACAGTAGCTGCTGACTGGGATGGAGTTCAGAAAGCTTCTGTGGGTGCTTTCCAGAGCTACCTTCCTTCTGCAGAGATGAACCAAAAGATCATTTGATGCTTACCACTACCAGCTGCATCTGGGGTTCCCAAGGCAGAGTGTTAGGCTGTGTCCTCTGCCTGCAGACTGGGAGGGAAGGAGCTTACACTGCTTTTGTGGCAGGAGTAGGGTCCTAGGGTTAGTGTGCTACTAAGGGCCTGTTCACAAACCCCCTCATGAGCAGTCAATAACTGCTGCTGGTGGACAGGGGCTGTGACTTTGAGGAGATGCCTGTGAGAAGGGTCATGAGACATGATCACACCGAAAGAGCGATTTAGACAACATGAAGTAAACTCAAGTAACAATCCATTTTTTTTCCATTTGAAGGAAAAATTACGTCTGCAGGGGCAGATCACAGAAGGCAGCAACATGATTAAAACCATCGCCTTCGGGCGCTACGAGCTGGACACCTGGTACCACTCCCCCTACCCCGAGGAGTACGCGCGCCTGGGGCGCCTCTACATGTGTGAGTTCTGCCTCAAGTACATGAAGAGCCAGACAATACTGCGCAGACACATGGTAAGGGCCAGGGCAGGGCTGAATCCTCATTCCACATCTCATCTCTGCCCACAAACGGTTTAAAACCTTAGGGTTGTGAACAGAGTTGCTGGCTTTAGGAGGTGAGGAAACTGCCTGTTTCCTGATACGTCCAGTACCTGTTTTAACTCTTTCTACCCTTAAAATGGCAGCTTCACTCTACTTTTGTGTTCCTCTCATAGGCAAAGTGTGTCTGGAAACATCCCCCTGGAGATGAGATCTACCGCAAAGGCTCCATTTCAGTGTTTGAAGTGGATGGGAAGAAGAACAAGGTAACAAATAACTGTAGTCCTTGAGTCAGTCCTGAGTGTGGAGCCCATCTTTCAGATGTGCCTGGTGCTGCTTTTCCCATAGATGTGCAGACAGCCCTTCCTCCCTCGAGCTGCAGAAACACAGGGGGTCTGGTCTGTCCATTCTTGCAGTTCTGGCTGTAGTTTCTTGTCTGCATTTGCTCTTTGTGGTTATTCCTCAGCCCTATTGTGCTCCAGCAGTTTCATCTGCTGGGCTTATACTCTGCTTGCAGATGGGTGCCAAGATCCCTTTCTGGAAGTCAGCAGGGGGATCTCTGTGCCTGGCCTCAGTAGATGGCTACTGCCCATCTCCTGCTCCCTGGGAACACTCAGATTTGGGTTAGAGTGGGAGAGGTCCTGCGAGCAGAATGTGAATCTGCAGCTGCAGATTCAGTGCTAGGCAGTAGAACCATACTTGTGGATGCCTCTAGTATCTGGTCTTGAAGGCTTCAGAGAGGAAAAAAAAAACAAACCAAAGAAACAACTTCAGAAGCTAAATTCTGCACTGCCAGAACCTGGGAGGAGTCTTGGCTGGTAACCAGAGATAACCTTGAAGCAGGGGATGAGTAGAATACAGTGGAAGCAGTCAGAGACCCCACCTCCTGCCCCCCTTCACTGAGCACAGGGTGTTCTGGGCATTCAGAGATTGAGATCACAAACATCAGTTCCCACCCCTGAGCTTATCAGGTTTCATCACAAATGGAATTCTTTCCTGGCCCTGCTGCTCTGCTTGAAAGACTGTCCATCATTCCTCAGATGACTGAGGATTTTCTGGTCGTTTCCCATGGATTCCTGGTTTTGTCCACTCTAGGAATGTTTGGCTGTAATAAGTGGGTGTGTCCTATTATCCTTTTGCTTCTAGATCTACTGTCAGAACCTGTGTCTGCTGGCAAAGCTTTTCTTGGACCACAAAACACTGTATTATGATGTTGAACCCTTCCTCTTCTATGTCATGACAGAAGCTGACAACACTGGCTGTCACCTGATCGGGTATTTCTCCAAGGTGAGTTGAAGATCCATCCATCCATACGTGTGACTACCTCACTAGCATGAGATTTATCAATTCTGAATCTTCCCTCTGAGTTTTCCCAGTCTCAGGATTTGCTGCTTTTAGGAATAGATAAAGTTTCAAACCAGCACTGTGTGAATTGTGGCTGTTTGCTGCAGCAAAGGCTGAGGTCAGTTGTATGAGGTTTAACAAGGCCAAGGGTTGGATCCTGCCCTTGGGTCACAACAAGCCCCTGCAATGCTCCAGGATGGGGGAAAAGTGGCTGGAAACTGCCTGGAGGAAAGGCCCTGGGGGTGCTGGTGGGCACCCAGCTGAATGTGTGCCCAGGTGACCAAGAAGGCCACCAGCACCCTGGCCTGGATCAGCACTAGTGTGGCCAGCAGGAG